TAACAAATCACGATTCAATAAAAGGACTATTAATAACTATTTACCCGTTTATAGTACACCATGGCTTAACGCCCAACTATGATTGATATGATGTAGCAATGCTGTGATGGTAGGGAGGTAATTTTTAAAGGTGGGGTTGGTAAACTGTAATTTCAGACATGTATGTACATGCATATATGATAAGGGCATTTGTACTTATAGGTAGGTTTATATATAGTATACACAACAGTTATATTGTACGGGTGATACAGGGTTTAATATATGAGTGTTATTTTTGTATTTTAAACCATAATACTTTGATATTTATAACAGGACGGTGGTAACTGACTTAGTATAAAACATAAGTTCACAGAATGGATTTTACTCAACTTTTCAAAATAGCGTCGTGGACAAAGTTTCCGCAGAGCTTAAAATCGAATTTTAACAATCATCATAGGAAAGCATGTGTTCCAACCGAAGAATGACAATTAATCATTGTCCTTAATAGATATCAGGATATCGGACAATTACATTTTATCCTGTGAACAAAATTAAACAGGGTGACACTAGACACCGGTATCATTATATACAGAGCAACGCTATTCACCTCCTCAAACTCTCGCCATTACATTTTGGTTTAGTTGTTTGGCGAAAACGACTGGGTTATTTAGCTTAATTATTTAGTAGCATTCACATAAGGCAGTCTAAAGTCTGTAACAGGAGCGAAGTGCGTAAACAGTTCATCGTTCAGGCATGAAGCTATGCCCCGCTGTAGCACAACGACACAATTAAAAATACAGGTCAAACCTACTGTGCAAGTTTAAATTTACATTCCGATAACAATTGCTTGACAATTGATCATCTGCGCCTCATATCTCGAAAAAGATGGCTTGACTAGATACTGTCTCTCAAAAGGTATGTTATTGTGCATTTATATAGATAGTCCTTACTAGTTTTCATATCACACTAATGTAAAGAAATATATGTGATATACACTTACCAATAGCCGACCGCATAGGTAGCATAATGTATCGATTTTAACTATTGCGCACATACTTTGATTCTTTTAAACATGGAGTAAAAACGTAATTTTAATCAAACTTAACAAGTGTCTTGATCCAAAAAGAAGAAAAGGTTTGATTTGCCTAAACCGGGTAAATAAGCAACATTGCTGTATTGTCTACACTATGTACTAAATCATATGCGATAACGATTTAAGTTGCGTTAGCTGGTGTGCGTGTAATCAAGCAGTTATTTGACAAAAAATATATTTAAAACGGTCAAATGATCATTTAAAGATTCTGAAGCCGTCGCCGTGACCTCAAACATATGACCTCGGCCTTAAACTGGTATTGACAGATATATTACGTTTGTGAAGTTTCATTAACTGTGTTTGTTGAATTTCAAGCCAAGTATACAAGATTCACATCGTAATGTTAACATTCTGAAGGATTGACTTTGATCACGTGTCAACATTTATTTTCCGGTACATTAAAGATGTTTGCAAGGAACATCTGTACGGATTCTAATGAAATGTGATTAACACGTGAGTCAGGAAGCTGCAGACTAGCCAAAGGTAGACATTCGGAGAGATAGTCAAGATGTTTCCAACAAACATTTCCACCAAAGGCAAGTGTATAAGTGGATGGTCTAGATAATTTAAGTTTGACAAAATAAAATAGAACCTCCTCATCAATTCTTTTGCCTACAAGGTAAGTGCGAAAAATATCTTTGTTTTTGCCGATAATTGTTTAATCTGTTTTGCCACAACCAACAAACGATCGTTTGTACTTCGAAGAATCAACATTTGATGATCATGAAAACATCATTATACTTATTTGCTATAAATCACATACTAGATCTTTATTCATTGAACTGTGTTGATTAGCTATACAAATTACAGTTGCAGGCACTGTATACGGAAAGCGACAGCACTTGCTCCAAACAATGACCAAGGACACTGAAAATTTCGGAAGAAAGATTCTAAACACAGGAATTTTGAAACCAAACCCACACAAACATAAAAAAATGTTCTTAGGAAAACACACTTATAATGTCTGTTTATGTAAAAGTCCCTCTAATAAACCATACAATGTCCATGGAGACAGATAAAATCAAAGAGTTGCTGATTTTAATGAAAATCGAACTACGAAATCGCACAGATATATCTCCTCAAAATGTCGCCATTAAACACACATGATGACGCTATGACGACAGTTGTTTTACGGTCACATGATAGAAAGTTCAACTTAACCATCAACAGAAGATATAATCACATTAGAAAATGTGGTAAAAGCACATGATTTATATGTTGTATTTTAAGATAGTATAGTTTTTACGATTGCCCAATTAATATATCAGTAACCGTTGTCAAATGCAGTCTTATACACAGCATACCTAAAGATTCCATAGATTGACTTTGAACGAAACATACATATCATTTAAACTTACATCTTTAACAATTTTTAATCTGATTTTCAGACCAATGTTAATGTCGTATTGACCAGACAAAGTAGTAGCACACCCGATGTATGTCGCTAACGACGTTATCTTAAGTAGGTGTACGTGTATGTTTATGTATGTAAGTTAAGTAAATGTATACTGAATGTATATTAGGGTAATTCATACTGTTTTATACATGTATATAATGTTAAGACTTTGACCTAAACATCGAATCCTAGTTTTTTACTTGAACATACATAAAGCCCCGATTGAAAATCCTATTTAATGATAAATTAATTATGCATATAAATTTATGAAAAGACGCTTTTACTCGTTTCAGTCAGGAAAACTCAATAAACAATGAGTATCGTTGAGTTTATATACATTATGTAAAATAATTTGTATTTGTTCTGATCAACAGGCGTACAGTAAATAATAAGAATACCGTTTAATGTACATATGTCCATGTACGAGTGACATAATTGTACTGGTAAACAAGCATAGAGTAAATTATACTAAGAGTACCGTTAAATTTATACATGTGTCTGTTGAATGATTGAACTGGTTAACAAGCGTGCAGGCAACACAAAATGTAGTTTGAGTACAATGTATAGCAGACATGCAGGGTGTGTTTATATAGGTATATGATCAAATCTAATTGTTGAAATAATATGTCGTCAAAAAGACGCCATTGGATTTGAATGGAAAAAAATGGCTGACGATCAGGCAAAAAATACTGCAAAATACTTCAGGGAATTTCACCAAAACAACACGTGGTACACATACAATGTATCTATGTTAAAAACCCATACCATATTTGATACCTATAAAATCTTGTTTTACTATAAAGGCCCAAAGGAGACACCGATTAAACCTTATTTAATTGAATTATCCCCGGTAGAGTGGTTTTGAATTAAGCTTTGATAAGCCTCGCGATACCACAATATGAAGACAAATTGATCACGATTTTAAGGATGGTGTATTAGTCAACCCAATATTGTCTCTGGAGTCGGGTATCTATGTACATATATTTCCACTCCTTTTGCGTGCATTGCTACAAACACTGGGCGATAACGACTGGATAATTTAGCTTTATTAATCTGTACTATTCAAACTGCGCAGTCTAAAGCATGTAACATGCGTTCGTGGGGCGAATACAGTGAACCTTTCAGGCGAAAAGCCTTGTCCTGTGCTTAAACAAAGACACAATCAAAAGAACAGAACCATCCAATACTGTTTGACCAGAGACGTTTAAAGCCTTATTTCTGTATGTTATTTCGTTTTTAATTTCAATTACCGTTTCTGGACTATTAGTAATCTCCTTCTCATCATCTTACGAAAAGTAAAGATTGGCTTGAAAATCATGTTATATTGATAGTCTGTCGTCGCAGATATATATATTTATATATCATACTAACGTAGGATAACATGTTGGATGTAATCTCAAATAAGAACATTGAGGTATGGTGCACACTATTTAGTAAATCAGACTTTCGGGATTGATGTGAGAAACACTTGTTCGAAGTTTCATAATGAACTTGGTTCAACGCTTTAATCTGGGAGCTGCAGACAAGCCAACTATTGACAGACGGACGAGCAGACAGAATTACACCACCATACACACCATCAAATGTTGTTGTATAAAATAGATGTTTAAGATATAACAATGAAAATAACACAGAACTTCCAAATAAACTTATTTGCCTACAAGATAGTTGAATAGTACTTGTTTGTCTTTACGGTTATCTTTTCCAAAACGGATTTTTTCCCAATACCAACACAATGAATCCCAGGGTGTGATTGACTGTTAAATGAATGTGTGCTAGTAAGCTAGCATACAGAAAAAATAAATAAAGATGTCTGTATTGCTTATACAGTTTGAGCATCATGTTTACTGCCATTATTGGCACTTTGATGAATAAACGTTTGATTATCATGAAAAGATAACTTTACTTATATGTTATAAATCGTATCGATACTGGCTTATTCATTTCATGGTGTTGATCAACTTTACAAATTCCGGTAACAGACATCACTGTATACCGGGAAGTTTTCGCCGCAGTTTAACTTTCGGCTTTTTCGCTCTCCCCAATTCATTTAAATTTATCCCGAGAGCGATTACGAGTACATATCAAGCAATATTTAGTAATTACCTGTGAAGAACGAAAATAATACTGGGCGAAATTGGATTTTATCGGCAAAAGGCGAATATTTGACTGGGCAAAAGTTTCCCGGTATATATATTATCCAAAAAGTGGAAGATCGAACCGGCTGTGTAAATTGAGAGTGTGAAACGTAATTTTCTCCACACAAATGTTTTTAACATCACACTTTGTTTAGTTAAAGCACACCAAGAACTACTGTTCCTAAAAATATGCAAAGATTTACTATTTTCCAATTGAAATCGAACAAATGAATATCAGTGTCGTTGCACTCGTACATTTGATTATAAAACGCTTCCTATTTTGAACCAATAAGATAAGACTATTCCGGTGTACTTTGAATGAGTTACTTCACTTCGTATAGACGTTTTAAATAAAGTAGTTAGTTATTTACAAATGACACATAAGAATACATACCTTTTAATGACGTGATGACTGTAGACACGAGTATCTTTGTACACAGATAGCAATATATCTCCTCAAAATGTCACCATTAAACACAATGCCGCTACGGCAACAATTCAGACGATCAAATGCTGGAAGAATTAGCAGAAAAGTTTATAGCACAGACTATTTTGTCCAAATCACATGCATAGTTTAAATATTCTGCTTTTATAGGAAGGCTCAAACGATATACCGGTAACCGTTGTCATACAAGTCTTAAACACAACATACTGCACGAGTCCAAAGCTCGACTTTGAACAAAGCAGTTATGTCTTTGATAATTACACAGTTAATTGATTTTTAAAGTTCAATGGTAATGTCTCTGTGAACAAACGACACAATATTCCGTGTCTGTATACAATCCTACTTTATTATCAAGGCTCAGATAATACAATCATTACTCAATTCAGTTCATCCGCGGTAGACTGACTTTTAACAAATCATCTATCAGTCACACGATAACTATTATATTAAAACAATAGTGATCACGGCTTCACGGCGCAGTAATAGATGAGTCAGTATATAGTACAGTAATACTAACTGTATAGGTAGTTGGGCATTTGTAATGACAATAAGTTTAAGTCATGCATTATGCATATGTGTGGAGGGTATTTTGTCGTAAGAACATGAACAAATCCTAAACCGCCTTTGCCGCGGTGTTTTGGGGAAGGGGATTGTTGGTGTTTTGGCACAATCAGAGCCGAGTAACTACTGCAGGCTAGAGGAAAGGTTAGGGGTTGACTTTGAGATTAGGAAGGGGACCACACATTGGTAGTCAAAGTGTTGAGAAGTTTAGTTTCGGAGGAGGGACATTGCCTTTTCGAAATGAGGATTCGACAGAACCCTTGATAAATTATTTACATTATAAAACGTAGATTCAGCTAACCGGATTTCAATTACGTTTTAAAGGGCAGTTTACTTGTTGACGATAAGTTTTTCTAACCGTATTGATTGTAAATAACATTTTCTTTTTATATAATAACCCTGATGGGTAATTTCAGCTTGTTGGGTTCTTCTGTTTCGCTCTTGAATTGACGAGGTGTCATCTTTAAATGGCAACAAGTCTATTCACGTAGTAAACGTTGATTACCTCTTTGATTCAATATCATTTTGCGACATCATAAAAAAGGGTGGCTTGCTACTGAGTTGCATGAAAAACGTGCCGATTACGGTATTTTTTATCCTGAATTTTCCCTGTTTCTTTCAATCTCGTACATGACAAAGTGTATTCGATATTAACGGGCTTACCTGAGTATTATAATTTGCATAATAGATATCACCTGTTAATGGTAAAAAAGGCCAAGTTTTCAAGTCGGCCACCATACTCTCAACGCGAAACTTTCTATTTCCTTGTGCGATGTTAGTCTATACGTTTTAATAACGAACATTTGTATGTTTTCTTTGGTGTCGTTGTTACTAACTCGGTTGTCATTTTATGAAAAAGCTTGGATTTGACATAGATTTATGTAGCGATTGACGAGTAAACATGTAACAAGTGTACAAAGGGACGTAACTCACTGTTCAACAAACACTTTACACAGCAAACCTGTATTGCAGTTCCAGGCTATTCAAGGATGTAACAAGATGAGCTTGTGATTGTGTGTTACCAATAACCAATGAGCAGGGACGCGTGTTATAAAGAGTATGGACAAGAATGACACCTTTTTCAGCCCTAACACCCAGGTCTTGGATATATAAAACAATCAACCCGTAACACTAATTTGACAAAATGAAGTTAACTTTTTAAGCATTCTGAAGTGTAGGGGTTTGCGACGAGTTAATTGTCGGATTTCCTATATTTGAGTTTGAACTTACCTAGAATTTTCCCCTGTTATAATTATATCATAGTAATAATAAAAACTAAAGCAATTATATTACATATCATATGAGCTGTCTAGCACAAAATGCATGCATATATATAACAAAAGAGTAGCTATGGGTCGCCCGATTCAAAGAAACAGGTATAATATGATGTGTTTACTAGGAAATATAAAATGAGCAGTTCCCTAATACTCACTGTTCAATCAGGCTAGCAACCAAGCTGATACAGGTTTACTAATGTTAGCTGTTTATATCAAGTGTACAAAGATACATAACTCTTTGCTTAACCCAAACTACACTCGGTGAACCTATATTGCTACCAATTCCTTAATGATGTATTTCTTACGTTTAAATCTCGTTTTACTCTATTTTAACGGTTTTTCATAAGATTGAATAAATACGGATCAATCTAAAAGCACATATGCATCTGAGAAATTCTAATTCTTGAAGACATTTTTCCTCATTTAAAATATGACCAATTTTGCAGCCATTTGAATATCCAAAATTTATTGCACTCTTTGCAATGCAAAACGCGCACACTTATTGACATCAGATTTATCGCTAAACGAGTCATTGTATCTCCTTTTTTCACTTTTGCAAGTTGTCTGTTTGAGGGCGTAAAACCCCATTTTCTTTTGATCAATTGAATATCTTAAAAAAAGGTTAAATACAGAACTGTTTATATTAATCGTAAAATCTACAAAGAGTAATCTGTCTTGTTTTTCTGAGATAAAAGAATAAGTAAAAAAAAAATTCGCTTCTATGATTTAGAAGAAATTGCTACTTTTTATCAATTCAGCAAACATCTATATATTACTTATAACACACTTTGTTCTGATTACGTTCAAAACTAAATCTTTCATCAAAAATCACGTATTATGTTCTTGTGTGCTACCAGTTTGATAAAAAGAGAATCCTATTGCTTATATGTAAACTTACCCTTTTGGATCATGGAATGTTCATACAAAATTTGGTAAAGCTGAATAAAAAATGAGCTAATGCTGAATTCATATTTTTTATAATGTATTGTAAAATACATAAGTAGTATGCTGGGATGAAAGGCTATTGACTTTCTTCAAATGACTAGTTTGACCCAAGTCACAGGGGTCGATTGAATTAAAATATTTCAACCACATGTTTGTTGTAAATAAGAGGCCTAAGGTGATAATATTTGACCTGAAATATTATGAGATGACGGGCTTACAAGTTAGTACAAATATGAGACATATAAATTACAAGGGTCGAATGCATTCAAAACATTAAAGGACCTCTTTGAAAGGATGGAGATGCATATCATGATATATTTTGCTAGTAGTATGCAGGATTGACGAGCTATAAGTTTGTTAAAATGAAATAAAGATTTACCTCAATCACCGTTTAATGATAAAGGGGGCGAATATATTGAAACCTTCTAATATTTTTTTCTGAATAGCCAAAGGCCTAGCGTGATGATGTTTGGTCAGTAGCATGCCATCAGATTTGTTTAAATGAATTATCTTGGCTTGAAACGAAGATTAATAAGATGTTGTGTAATACAATCTTGAAATTAAGATCCATTATCTGAAAAGTCATTATATAGTGCTATTTTAACAAATTATACCTTGCGCATCTTTGAAGGTCACAAATTTGAAATAAATGTCAAGTGATCATGAGCGATATTCATATCGACTGAGTTCCCAAACTGACATGTTTCCAAAGTTCAATCTAGCCAGATTGTCCGTTTTATTGTCTCGCCGCAACGAAGTGGAAGCGAGACTAAGGTTTTGACCCATCGACTTCTTGTTTTATGTGGTGACTTAATGCAGACCTGCTTCTTTTCCAGACAGCAATATCGTGAACTTCTCCTTATAAGTGAAAACAAATCTTTTAAAATTAAAAACAAATGTTTCTTTTTAGTCAATGTTTTACTATCAGAAGTCAACTTCGTTTTTTTTGTCATACTCAAGATTGAGTAAATTATCATTTTTATCAGTGATAATAACCATATCTTTAATAGGCATTTTTAGTGACAGCGCCTATAATTTGCTACTTATTATATAAAGGGTTGATTCTAATTAGCATTAGTAATGGAATTATGGATATCCTGCTCCTCATACCAGATTCCAACGCAACTTTCTCTTTATATATTTACTGCTGCAATATAACACCTGTTTGATGCTACTCCACTGTTACTAGTGTACAAGGGTTTAGTGGCTGATGTTAACTCAAACTATTTACATTAGTTATATACTTGCCCGTGAGAAAGGTTGTTTTCCATATGTGATACTGTTATCTGTGCATAGGCCACATTCCGGACCAACCAATGTCCCCTGTGACCCATGCTTTTATCTTTGAACGTAACCTTTGTAAAAAATATGATTCAATTAAAGAGGAAATACAAATTACAAATAAATTGTGTGTCTGTTGTTGATCATTTTGTTGTTATTGAACAGTACATAACAAAACTATTATGCTATGAATATCCTATATCTTAATATCTCTCGACACTTTTCGACCCTTGAGCCTTCGTCCCTTTAGGCTATTTTGAGAGCCATTGGTTGACACTGAGTAAACGTCCCTTTAACAAACCATAAAATGTTCATTGAGACAAGAAAAAAGCAAAGATTTGCTGATTCTAATCAAAATCGAATTACTAAATCCCACACAAGTAGCTATATATCTTCTCAAATTTCACAATTAAACGCTATGACGACAATCGTTTTACGATCACATGATAGAAAGTTCAACGTAACCATCAACGGAATTGAATCACATTATAAAATGTGATAAAATCACAATATGTTGTATTTTGAAATAGTCTACTTTTTACGATGGTTCAATTAATATATCGGTAAACGTTGCCAAATGCAGTCTTATACACAACAGACCTCAAGATTCCGTAGATCAACTTTAAACAAAACTTTCATATCATTTAAATGTACACGGTAACTTAAATTTTTAAGGACAAAGCAGACTCAATATTATATACTAACGACTTAATTGTAAATAGGTGTTTATGTTGATGATACACAGTAACATACCTCCGTGTATGTATATGTCAAGGGCAATTTGTACTGTTTGCACATGTATATAATGTTAAGACGTCGACCTAAACACTGAGTCCTGTTTTCTTACTTTCACAATAATATATAAATAAATAAATATATAATATATAAAGCCCTGAATGAAAACTCTATTTAAATTAGTTATGCATATGAATTTATAAAAAGACGTTTTAACTCGTTTCAGCCAAGAAAACTCAGTAAACTATTATTATCGTTTAGTGTATATACATGTACATGTAGTTCGTCGACCATGTATATCTGACACACAAGGGTGTGTTTATATATCTATATGATCATATCTAAGTAAGAAACAATTTTTTGATGATCATAAAAGTAACTTGTTTACAAATATATACATGTTTTAAATT